CCCATCTCCAGAGTATAAAGACCTATAGCCGGTGGCCCCCCGGAAGTCTGTCTGCCTGTCTCTGCCTGACTTTCCCCCACTGGGAAATCGATACCGTAGTCTCAGTGTGACAGTATGACCTCACAGCAGAAGGGGGTGCAGATCAAACTCTACAACTGTGCCTGGCAGACAGGAAACGCTCAACAAGCACTTCCTTAGAAACAACCCAAATCGCATGAGCTAGAGAAGGATGAACACAGTGTGGTCCAGCCACACAGTGGAATATTAGCCATGAGAGGAGTGAAGCACTGACACGCTGCAACAGGGATGAACCTCAAAAATGATGCTGAGCGAGAAAAGCCAGACACAAAAGGCTACACGTCATATGACTCCACCTACGTGAAACGTCCAGAACAGGCAAACCACACTCGTGGTTTCTAGGGCCTTGCAGAGGTGAGAATGGGCATGAGGTTTCTTTATGGGGTGAGGAAAACGTTCTGGAACTAGACAGAGGTAGTTGCACAATACTGTGAAAGGTGCTAAATGCCACCAATTGTTCATTTTTAAATGGTTAATTTTACGTTGGTGAACCTTACCTCCATAAAAATAGTAAAAAGGACATTGGGTAGAAACAGGAAATCTGAATAGAGTGTGGATCTTGGTCAACGCTGGCCAGCTTGGTGCGTCTCCGAGAGGCCCAGCAAACACACCTGTCCTGGGGCCTCTGCCCCTGCTGTGTTTAGCTGGAAACTGGAGGACACAGGGAAGCTGAGTCAGACCCCCGGGGGGCCAGCTCTGTTTGCTCCTCTCACCTTTGGTGGCCTCAAAGGTCAAGGTGCCTGTTGGTTAGGAAAGGGTGTGACCAGGAGGCCAAGTGGCTGGGATGATGGCAAGGACGTTTTGGTGCCATAGAGGGGACAGTCGGCCCCCCAGGGGAGGGAGAAGCACCTACAACCCACAAGGGGCTCCACAACAAGTCAGGGAGGGGAGGCCGTGGTGGTAAGCCCAGGTGTGGGCACTGCTGGGGCATCTGCGTCCTGCAGAGCCAGGGACACAAACAGCAAGAATAATTTTCTTGTTTTGAAGGGAAACTGAGTAAGGTCTCCCTGGACAGCATTGCTGTGCCTCCCTGTCCAGGAACAGACTTCTAGGGGTTTCAGAAAAAGCCTCCTTTCCAGAAAGGAGAAGCTAAGTATCCATGGTGCCAAGGCAGAGAGGCCGTAGTCCACACACACTTCCACTTAGGGACACTCTCCGGCCCTGGTCGCCAGGGATGTTTAACAGGCTGGAGGGGTGCAACATGGAGGCGCAGGCCTGGGTGCTCATGGGTGGTTTTCAAAGAACGGGAATGACGGGTTGGGGGGAAGACACTTGAGGACCCACAGAGGCAGAGTATTTTTAGGTGCTGAATGCAGCCCTGAAATATTTCCACGGCCACTCCCGAGAGTGAGCTTGGTGACTATTTCTGTGCCTGGTTCCAATGGAGGTGGGGCACTGATGAGTCATCTCTGGGTGGCTGGGCTGAGACTGGGAGGGAGCTTTTAGGGTAGGACCGGGGGCCTGCGAGGTGACTGTTCACCAGACCAGGTGTCTGGTGCCAGCTTCTGAGGCAGAGAGGACAGTGGCCTGGCGGCTCTCCACAAAATAGCACCACTGCTTAGGGCCCACTGGGACAATGAGCCAATTATGCTGTCCCCAAGGCTTAGAGAGTTGGAGAGGGACCAGGGTAAGGCTTCAGACACTCCACAGGTGCTCACTCAAACACTTAGGTGGTTTCAAGCATGAATAGAGCACTTGCTGTATACCAAGCATCCATCCTTCTGTAATCCTCTTAACCCCTGGAGGTAGGAGTCTAGTCACCAGGAAGGAAATAGGCGCAGCCGGGTCCGACCTGCAGGGCCCCTTGTGTGCCTTGCAGTCTGTCCCTCAGCTGAAGCTACTGTGAAAGGAGTGGATTTTTAAGCAGGAGCCAACCTTGCCTGCTGCCTGCCCAAACTGACTCCAGACTCCTTACTCTGTGCTGGAGACAACAGACCCTCCAAGTTCAAGACAACAGAGGGAGGAGCTCTGAGGAGGCTCCAGCTGTGGGGCCTGGGGCAGGGTGCTTGCCTTCTCTGTGCCTGTGGGAACAGGCCATAGCCCAGGGGCTTTGCACTACTTATTCCCACTGCCTGTTCTCTGCTCTTTTCCCCTGGTCAGTGTCGTCCTTCTGGAGCTAGTTTGACTGTCCCTTCACCCCGGCTTCCTCTTCCATGCTGTCCAAAGATCCTACCTTGGTGTCCTGGGCTTCCTGTGAGCAGGAGCCCATCTGTCTGGGTCCTCACAGAACCCTGCCCTTCTTCCACCTCATGGCTTCCACCCTTGCTTCAGTGTGTTCTGGAACCCTCTGTGGCTACCCATCTTGCTCGGGGCCTGCATCCACCCCATGTCCTGCCCCCTCACCAATCTGCAGAGGGCCTTTGTATGGCCGATCTTCCATCTGAACACTCTTCTCAAAGATGTCTGGCTCCCTCACCTCTCAGATGTCACCGTCTTGATATCTCTGACCATCTCCTCTGGGGGTGGTTATCACCCTTGCTTTCTTTGCCTCCAGAAGCAGCTGGGATGGGATTGTGGCCCCCATTTCTCTGTCCTAAGCCAGCCCTCTGCTGTGTTGTGGTGGGTAGCTTCTCTCACTGGGGTTGTCTGAGTGGACATTAGACCTTCTCCCGTACCCCAATGGCTAAGTAGCCCTCTGTCCAAGGGGGGGGATGGCAGAGGACACTGGAATGCATGCCGAGCCACTATACACACAATGCCAATGCCAGGATGTGCCCAGCTGTAAGGTCCAGCTGGAGGGTGGGAGAACACCTGCCATCACACCACCTAGGGGCAGGGCTGTAAGGAAGGACGACTTGGACAAGTGTGTAGGTAAGGGTGACACAGAAAAGCAAGAGAGTGAGGATCAAGTATGAAAGACACAGAGATGAGGACTGGGGGGGGGGAATGGGAGGGGGGGGGGAGACCGGGCGGGGGGGTGGGAGAAATAGATAAAAAAAAATGTACTTGAAAAGTAACTAAATAAAATTTAATATTAAAAAAAAAGAAGTGTTTAATTAAAAAAAAAAAAAAAGAAAGAAAAGCAAGAGAGGACCTCCCAAACGGCTAGCTGCATCTGAGTCCCAGAAATGGCTCTTGGCTCCAGGCCAAGTCATACCTGGGCGCATGAGGCTCCCTGATGGGGACCAGGTGCACACCCTAGGGGAAGAAGGTCATTGTCCCCTCAAGGGTCTTGGGACTGTCAGCTGGAGGGCACAAACCCTACTGACCAACTAGCAGCAGAACAGAAAGATTGAGGCCCCGTACTTTTGGTTTCTCTTCTTGCTGAAGGGCTGAAGCTGGTTCTTGAAACCAGCCAGGAAGAAAGAGTAAAACAGCTGTCCCAAAAGCCAGCTCAAAATGGGGCCTTCAGGGAGCCCAGGCACCCAAACAGCAGGGTCAGGGCAGCGGCTCACATGCAAGGTGAGGGGAGGACAGCTAGCCAGTCTGCCTTTCAGAAAGGTCAGGGTCAGGTGGGTGGGGCAAGATTACATAGGCTTGGGGCAGGTGGGGCTGAGAGCAGCGTGGGACCAGAGGCAGGCTCCTGTCCCTGGACTTGATAAGGGAGCTGGTGGCCTCTGGGTGTTCTTGGTCCAAATCACAGTCAAACTGTCAGGAGCAAGGAGCACGCCTCTAAAGGACTTCCCTTCGCAGTCCATGGGGCGCCTGGTCCCAGAGCCCTGCTTCTATCAAAGCTCCACCAGACCAAGAGCCCAAAGGCCTTGATGGGCCCCTGCATCCAGAGCAATGACAGCAGGAAGGGGAGGGGGGATGGACTGGGAACAGGGCTCCTCCTTCCCCACCAGGCCTTCACTTTCTGCTTCAGCTCTGTCTGCAGCCCTGACCCCCACAGCCCATGCTGCCATGGCCTATATCTCTGGTGAGGGGGAGATGGGTCCCAGGGGCCTTGGCTTGCCAGAGCCTTTGCTCCACCCCAACCCAGACCAAAGTGCTACTTTGTTAGCAGACAAGGATTCAGGGCTAGGGGTAGGGTCAGCAGTGAGTCCCCCCGTGGGGTGGGACCAGGAAGAAGCGGTGATGGAGGTAAGGAGGCTGGGAGGGGGAGGCAGACCACCCCTCTTGAACCTAAAATGCGGACATCTCCCAAACTGGGGAGACTTATCTACACTTGACAGATCCCACAGTGGAGTTTCCAGGGTAACAGTGCCTTTTATTCTACTCACCCCTCAAAACTGGTCTCAACCCCGTGATGAGTGGCCAGGACTCATCTCCTTAGCACCTGCTGTGTCTATACTTAAGAGAGGAAAAGCTGTCCACAGACAGTGATGCTGGAAGCTTTGCCAGTGTGGTTCGGTGTCTTAGGCAATGTGGGTGGTGGTGCCTGGAGGAGTGAAGTAGCTCCAGGAAACCTGCAGGTTCCTCCAGGCACCGCCCATCTTGGTGAACTCTGGTGTGAACAGTGCTTGCAAGAGTGTTGGTGGCAAGGCTGGGCCTTGTGGGCGCCTGCTGGCTTCCACCTCCACCTCTCACAGCACCAGCTCTCTCTACAAAGAGGGGAGGGGATTAAGGCAAATCTGGGGCAACCCCTGTCCCAGTGCCAGTTTTATACCTTTCCTTTCCTAAGAAAACCTTGAGAGACATGGCTAAGTGCCCTGTTGAAACACCTATCCTGGCTGGTGTGGCTCAGTGGATTGAGTGCTGCCCTGCAAACCAAAAGGTGGCCAGTCTGGTTCCGGGTCAGGGCACCTGCCTTGGTTGTGGGTCAGGTCCCCAGTTGCGGGTATTTGAAAGGCAACTGACCGATATTTTTCTCCCTCTCTTTCTCTAACCCCTCCCCTCTCTCTAAAAGTAAGTAAAATTTAAAAACAAAATGAAACCTACTCTTGGCAAGATGGGCCACAGCCCTCAAAAGGAAACCCCATACAGGGCTGTGAGTTCCTGAGGTCACCATGTGCTGTATGTGCCCAGTGGCTCAAAAAGAATTAAGGGTTTGCAGTTGTTTTGTTTTTATTTTTGTAACACGAAGAGGGAGAGAGGACGCAAAGGGGCGGGGCCCAACCACATCCCCACAACAGCTTTTGAGGCACATGTCTGTCCAGATCTGTTCTGAGAAGACAATTGCAGGTCTGTTTCAGCAAAACTCCGTGGACGGTCAATCTCTGCGTAGAGAACTTAAAAAAGGGAAAACCTCCTGTCTGCCTGCCACACAGGGCTCCAACAAGAGACACAAAACAAAACTTTGGAAAATGGCCCCTTTAACCCACAAGGGCGAGGGCTCTAAAGATACATTAACACAGAGAACTTTCCAGGAATCAAGTTGGCTGCAACTTCACAAAATCTAAAACACCAAATAACATTTCCAACTGTGGAAATGCTGGGTTAAAAAAAGGACTTGACATAAAGAAGAGGATAACAAAACATGCAGGTGGGGGTCCCCCAACACCTGCCTCATTTCCGTTCTGAACAGACTGGTGGACTGGAGCAGGCGTGCAGCCTGGAGTAGGGGTGCTCAAGTCTCTAGGGCCGAGGGCTGCTCACTGTTTGCCCGTCTGTCTGCCCGGCTTCTTTTCCGGCTGGCCTCTGCCAGTGCCTGGGATCCCGCCTCGGCCCCGGCCGCCAAACACACCTGCAGAACAGAAGTAGGGGCTTCAGGGGAGCCTGGTTCCAGGGTATTCTAACCCCTCTGGGCCTCAGTGGTCCCCTCTATAAAGTGGGGAGGGCGGGCTGAAAACGGGTGGAGTATCTGACCAGGGCCAGGCATGGGTGGTGCTTGAGAATATTCTCAGTGTGACAGAGGGACACCAGGCCCCTACAGTGCAAAGAGTGTGAGGGAGGTCCGGTGAGCCACAAGTTATCCTGGGCATTGGGTCGGGCTTCCCGGGAGAGGGCCCAGAGCTGGGGTAGGGGGGTGATCATTATAAGAACAAAGCCAGAAGAGCTTCCAGGAGGGGGAAGAACCAGGACAGGGGTAGGACTCTAGCAGAGTGGGGTAGACAACCCCAACTGTGAGGCTGAAGTCTGCAGTGGGGACCCACGACCTCCTTCATGGTAATCCTGACCTGTGGGTACAGAGTCCAGTGCAGCCAGGGGTTGCCCCACCTCGCCTCTCAATGATCGAGACCAGCTTTGCCAAGCAGGCTCCACCTGCCACTGAGGTCCCTGGGGCCTCTGTCCAGAGTAGGCAGAGAGGCCCCTCCCCCCACCTCCCTGCGGCTCAGCCAGCAGTGGTGCCCCCCAGTGCACAGGGCCTCAGATACGAGATAGGCTCTGAGACCCTGGTGCCCCACTAATAGTCCCTTTCAATTTTCCATCTGGAATGCCCTCCCACCCTCTTCACTATGGCTCACTTCTGTCACCTGAGCCTGGCTCAAGCTGGCTCCAGGCCTGGCATTCAGGAGGTCCCCACAGCTGGAAGAGACAGAGCCAGACCACTGCAAAAATAGGAGCCTGACCAGAAGAAGGTGGGGTTTACGGATGGCCTCGGGGCCTAGGGTCCAGCTGACTGTACAACCAATTTAATCTTATGCCAGAATTGGCATCTCAGGGCAGTGAGGGTGAGTCTGTTAAAAAGGTGACCGTGGCTTTGCATCAAGGAGTCAGGGCAGAGAAAGGCCCTGTGCCAGCCCCTGAGCTGGGGTCCTCACCTGCAGCTTGATGAACTGGGCACTGCTGGACTCTCTCTAAAGAGTGGAAACAGGCTTAGGAAGATGCGTGCTGTGTCCAGACACAGGTATGGAGACAAGGGCTCAAGGCCCAGGTCTGTGTGGGTACCAGATCAATCTGCTAGGCTGGACCTAGAACTGAGGGCACTGAGGACTCAGCTGGGACCCTGGGCTGGGGTAGGGGCAGGTGGCAGTCAGCAGGAGCAGCCACTCCACAGAAGAGGCCTGTGAGTCACAGCTCCCCCGCTCTGTTGGGGGTTAGGGCTAGGGCTCAGAGCCAGGCCCACTGCTGCACCATGAGAGCACCAGCCAAGAATGTCAACACAGCCGAAAAGGACGCCACGTGCTGCTGCTACCCCAGCGTGTGTGTGTGTACACGTGCGCATGCAGGACCTACCTCGCCCAGCACCCCCCATGCCACGGCCTTTCTGCTGCTTCTGCTGCTGCAGACCACCGCGACCACGACCTTTGGCCACCACCTCTTCCTTGACCATGTCAATGATCTCATCAGGGATGCGCAGATACTTGATGGTGCTGCCTCGGATGTAGCACTCCGGCATCCGCCAGAACTTGTCTCCGTCCTGCACAAGAGGGGGCAGCTATCTGCACCTGCCATCACCCCTGTAGGCTGCCAAGTTCACAGTCCCAGACACAACACGGGACTCCTTCAGTGGGGTCAAAATACATTCAGCACTCTTGGCACGAGGAAGAGCCAGGGCTACATAGGAGATAGCCTCCATGTCCTTGGCCTGTCTTTCAGCATGGGATGGAATTTGTCACCTGCAGCTCAAATCCCATGGTGGGGGCTGCCCCATGCACCAGGTGCTGCCAGAGCCCAGTTGCTGTCTGTTTCTGCCCCCAGCTTTCTAGAACCTGCCTTCTGGAACCCGCCTTCTGGAACCTTTTCTATATCCCTGACTCATTCATTCATCTAACTATCTCCTGGCAGGGTCTGAGTTTGGCGTGGGACACAGGGCAGGACAGACACCTTGTGAGACAGGTAAAGAGGGCCAGTAGAGGGGTGGGAGGCAGGTCTGACACTCACCAGGAGCAGCTCCCCAAGATGCTAGTTTTCAGGGGAGCTAATTGAGGCTGGAGAGACAAGGAGGCTAGAAAAGACAAAACCCTGCAGTTCCTACTACGTGGATGATGCCACCCCACCCCCCTGCCTCCCGCCAGGCGACCAGCACAAGGCCTTTCCCTGAAGTCCCCTCCTGCTGCCCTTGGGCAGGAGCCCAGGGCTGCTTCTACCAAATTAGTTTCCCAGCCCCACCCCCACTGCTCCGAGCCAGAAGCCTGGGTAGCCTTCTCCTCCCCCCCACACCCTTAGAAATCAGACCAAGACCTCTCCCTGCTTAGAACCCAATCAGAGCCAGGGACTGGTGTTGCTCAGTGGGTTGGGCGTTCTCCCACAAACCGAAAGGTCGCCCTGTTAAATTCCCGGGTCAGGGCACATGCCTGAGTTGTAGGCTGGGCCCCCAGCTAGGGGTACCAGCGGCGACCCTCTGTGCAAGAGGCAACAGATCGATGTCGCTCTCACATATCTCCCTCTTTCTCCCTCCCTTCCCCTCTCTCTAAAAATAAATAAAATCTTAAAACATTTAGAGCCCCCTTGGCCCAAGGATCAGGTCTAAACTCACTATGGCTCCCAGGGCCCAAGATCCAGCCCTGCCCTAGCTGCCCTCTCTTGGCACATTCAACACACTTCCCAAATGGAACTTTCTGGAACACACAAAGAGGACTTCTGGCCGCTAACACTTTGCACATACTATTGTCAGCTGTCGCCTTTCCTTGTCCAGCTATCTCTAGTCTGTGACAGGGCTTGCCTCGCAGTCTCCAGGCTCCCTGAAATCCCCAGTCCTCCCCAGCCCTTGCCAGCAGTCTGGTCTGGCCCAGCAGAGGCACTTAGTGGGTGAGACAACGTTTGAGGGCTGACTCTTCCCAGGAACATTCACGAGCCCCCATCCCACTGAGGAACCCCACGAGGCCCCACACATTCCTTTCCCAGAAAGAGTGGGCGAAGGGCCAAGTCTGTGGGGATGCAAAGCACAGCCAGGCAGAAACAGAAGGATTCTGTAGAAGCTCGCGGCCAGGGATAGGGCTGGCTTCTCCTTGATCGGCCCGCCCTCAGCCAAGGTCAGACAGCTCAGTGCGCTCCCTGCAGGAGCCAGGGCTCACTGTGCTTTCTGTGGCAGTAATGTAGCGCCTCCCAACCCAAGCTTCCCCTGGGATCTTGGCCTCTGGAGTCTCTGGATTCTGCCACCTATCACCCAAGGGATTTTGATCCTCACCCCAGCCTTTCCTCACAACCATCTGGCCACAGAGGGAAATGTCCAGGGGAGCCATGTTTCCAAGCTTAGTTGACACTAGAAACCAGACCAACCAAGGCCTGAACCTGGTAATTGGTTCTAGGTCCCACGAGTGGACAGAGACCTACTGGCCATGTGCAGAAGGACATATACACATAAGACTATGCAGCGCAGCCCTGTCTGCTAAGGCCACAATGGCGCCACCCAGACATCTGCTGCACATGGCAAGAAATCCAGGAGGGAGCTTCTAGCAGATTGGGGTGGCAGCTCCACAATGTATCATTACAAGGAGCAGGTCACGGAGCTGTGTAGGTAAGGGAAGGGGTCATGCCACCAGTCTGCTTGTCAGGGTGTGAACCATCCAAAAGGACAGACCAGGGGTAGGGGGCTGCCTTACACTGTGCATGGCAAACCTTAGGGGCACGCTGCCCATAGACTCAAGGCAGCCCCAACCTGGCTGGGGCCCTCAGCAGCTTCTCCTGTAACCTGGGGGGCTGTGGCTGGCAGGTGGACTAAGACTGGAGTCCATGCATGTTAGTGTGAGAGAGCCCTGCCTCTACCACCGTCCTTGTCCTTATGGCTCTGGGGTCATCCCAGCCCGTGACCCCAGGGACCTGCCCCCAGCCCTGGTGGGTTAGGTTCTGGCCCTGCACTTCCTGGTTTCAGGCCTGGGGAAGTAAACAAGCCTCCTCGTCCATGAGGCTACAGGGCCACCCTTGCCCTCTGGTGGCCTGGGTACCCCACAACTACACCACTATGGCCTACAGCCTAGACTAACAGCAGCTAAGGCAGACAGGAAGGTGGGGTCTGCTTGCCCTGTAGGCCAACCCCTACCAGTACAGCAGGACTTATAGCCAGAAGCACCCGCTCAGCCTGAGTCCTTCCTGGTCAGGGGTAGAATCAGGGACGGGAGGAGGGGAACAGCTTGATACCTGCTCGGGAAGCACCTCCACAGGTACAGTCCTTATAGGTTCAAAGTCCAGGCACTGGGGACTTGGAGCCCTGTCCCTTGGCACTACTCCACACCAGACTAGTCCTGCAGGCCCCACCCCTGGTTGGAAGACTTGTGGTAGGCTAGACAAGCCCCCCATCTGCAGGCCAGAATGCTGAGGCCCTGTGAGCGTCCAGTCTAAGCACACTCTCCTGGTCACACTGCCCCTACCCCCATGTCTGCTCGCCCCGCCCAATGGTCCCCAGGTGTCGGGCCAGTCCCAGTGCAGGGCACTCACCCTAGACGTGCAGATCACCTCTCGCAGGTTGATGTTCATCCAGTTGTCACAGCTTACAAGGTGCCCGTTGTATGTCTCACCATTTTTGAGCTCTACCAACTAGACAGAAATGAGCCCCAAGTCAGTCACAGGCCCCAAAGGAGGTCCATCCCTGCCACTAAGAGAAGCCCTGCCCTTGTCCATACACGTCTTCAACTCCCCCCCAGGACCCAGAGGCCACCACACTCAGCACCCAGGCCTTCCAGGGAGCACATCTTACAGGGACACATTTTGCTTCTTTTGTACACTTTGCTGGGCATTGTAGATTTTCTAGAAGGAAACTTTTTTTTGGTGGGAGGGAAAAAAACCCCAAAACGAATAAATAATAGACTGTGGTTTTAAAAAGGACCAACTCAGGTATATGCCCAAGAGAAACAAGGGCATTCATCCAGGCAAAAAATGCATGCAGGAGCCCTGGCCGGGTTGGCTGGAGCTACAATCTGTGCACCAAAAAAGGCTGCGGTTTTGATTCCCGATTGGGACACACACCTAGGTTGCAGAGTCAATCCCTGGTCAGGGTATGTACAGGAAGCAACCAATCGATGTTTTTCTCTCTCCCATTTCCTCTCTCTCTAAAAGCAATAAACATATCCTCGAGTGAGGATTAAAAAAATGTATATACAAATGTTCACTGCAGCCAAATATTCAAATAGGCAAAAAGCACCCCAAATGTCTATCAACTGGTGAACATGGTAAACACATTGCGACCCACCCACACAATGGAATACTACTCTGCCTTTAAAAAGAGTGGAACACTGACACAGGACGAAACCTGAAAACATCGTGCCGAGAGCAGACACACAGGCTACAGGCTGTCTGATCCCATTCATGTGAAATATCTGGATCAGGCAAACCCACAGAGACACAGCACAGACTGGTGGCTGCCAGGACTGGGCGAGGGGGACAGGGGTCTCCTCTGGGGTGATGGAAATGTTCTGGAACCAGCCAGACATAACGGTTGTACGACATCGTGAATTGGCTAAAGGCCACTGCACTGTTCATTTTAAAACGTTGAGTTGTATGATATTTGAATTGTACTGAATAAAAAGAAAACAGAATATATTGAAAAACAACAAAAACCATTTAAAAAAATCACATTCATGTTTATACACACATATATCACAGAATTAGTTAAGTTGCTGGGAGGATGAATGCAGGGGCTTCACTCTAGGTTCTTGGCCTGTTTGACATTTTTTTAAAAAGTTTTATTTATTTATTTTTAGAAAGATAGGAAGGAAGGGAGAAAGAGAGGGAAAGAGAGAAACATGGATGCGCAAGGGAAATATTGACTGGCCACCTCTCACGCAACCCCCACTGGGGACCTGGTCCAGACCGGGTATGTGCCTTGACCTTGACCAGGAATTGAACCAGTGACCTTTCAGTTTGTGAGCCAGCACTCAATCCATTGAGCCACACCAGCCAGGGTGTGTTTGACATTTTTAATAAGCACATATTACTTTTCTAAGCAGCCGAAATGACTCCCGTCCTGACCCACGTGGGAGGAAAGAGAACAAGCTACTGCCTCATGGACAGGCAGGGAATCAGGTTTGGCTGGAAGCACCTCACTCTTCACCCAGTGTCCCCGTCCCTGTGCTGGGGCTGGTCCCCACTGAAACTATTCGCCCCAGATGGCACCTACTCACCATGGGGTGATTCTGAGCAGTCTTCAGCAGTGACAACGGGAGCTGAAAGACAGACAAACAAGGGCACAGGATTTGCCAGTTTAGTTGGCACCGGGGAGCCCCAGGCCTCTGGGCAGGGTCCCACCACAGCACCAGGGGTACGGAAGTGCACATGCCTAACCCCCTAAGAGGCACTCTCATTCTGCGCAACCTCAGGATGCATACCTGCCTCCCAGTTTAGGAAAGAACACCTCGAGCTCCACCTTTCCTCCCAGAGGCAGCTGCCACCTAGTCCCATCGCTGACCATTTGATTTTTTTTTTTTATAGCTCACGCTATACATTTCCCTCACATCCACCATGCTGATCAACAGCATCACAATGTACAGGTCCCCCTGCTGCTGCTGTTTGCTCTACCGATGTCTGAGTCCATCCACATGGATACAGGCAGCTCCAGGTCTTTCATTTCCAGCATCATATATGGTTATCATCACCCCTCTTTAGAGATGGGCATAGTGAAGCTTAGAGGCTGAGAATGTTGCCCAGCACTAGAGCTAGTAAGGGCAAGAACTTAACTTGACCCTTCTGTCTGCAGCCAGAGGGGGCAGCCCCCACTGGACCAAGAGTGACTCGGCCAGGCACAATAGAGAGTCCACCTCAATCTGGGGAGACCACATCTGAACTGAGTTTTCAAAGACAGGACTTCACTAGGTAAGAGGAAGAAGCATTCCAGAAAATCTTTGTGGTTACTGCAAGAGATGGCAGGTAAAGGATGGAATCTTTTAAAACTCACCCAGATAAGGTGGGCTTTTAAGATATTGACTTTTCCACCATTACTGAATTCCTTTTTCATAATAAACAGGGTGTAACTGGGGGGGGGGGGATCAGCTCTTCTCATTTTGGGAACCCAAATCAGGACCCTGTACACTGGAGCTGCCTCTGGCTCTCCAGAAGGCTGACTCAGGTGGCAGTGCTTGGGTCCCGGGTCCAAAGGCAGCCTTATTCAGTGTGGCTAGATGAAGCTTCTGGACAAAGGGCCCCGCAGACAGGAAACTGCCTCAGGGAGGAACAAGGCCTCCCTTCGTCCTGCCCTGGCCTCACACTACTGATCTGACCCAGACAACTGTTTCTTCAGGCCATGGGACTGGACAGCCTCTCCGGTGGAGGCCGGAAATGGCCCTCAGCCCCCAGAGGGTGGCTTCCATGGAAGGGCTTGGGTGGGGGGTACAAATCCCATATCCCACAGGCCTTCCCTGAAAAGAGTCACAGGGGGAGGTCCAGCGACAACAGGAAGCCAGGTCCAAGCCCACTTCCTGCACTGGCTTCCTGGACAGCCAAGATAAGGAGAAAGAACAGGCCATGTGGAGAAGGGGCGGCTGCTCCACAGAGGATGAGCAGGTCAGAGACCAACGGAGCCAGCCACAGCTCCTGCCCTCTCGTTTGTGTGTCTGTGTGACTGTAACAGGATGCTCCACTCTGCGCTTGGGGCCACAGGCCTAGATTGCCTTTTACTGTGCAGAAGCTTCGGGGTTTCCTGGGCAGTGGGAATCTGAACCAAGATGATGAGACACCTGGGTCCTCCTCCCAGATCACCAGAAAGGGGACAAGGTCAGGCTAACCCTGGAATGTGAGAATGAAAATGGACTCAGTTGCAGGGAAGGTCAGAGGAGGGAACTGCCCAGGGACACACAGCCAGGTCCTGGTAAAGCCAGTGAGAGCAGACCGATGGGCTTGTCAGTTCAGAACCCACAGCCTCCATTGTTGTCACCGGCAGTGCCCTAACCACAAAGCAACTAAGAGGACATGTGAAGCCCTGAAGGGACTGGGACCTGCTCCCAGTTCTCCCCTGAATTCCCTATCCCCACTCCCCAGGCAGGCCACAGGGCCAGGCTTGACAGGGCTTCAGCAAACTGGCCCACACCACTCTTCACTCCTCACACACCATGCAGGTTCCTATTCCTCCACCTTTGCTCCTGTGGTTCATTCTGCCTGGGGGGCCTTTCCCTAGGCTGACTGCTGCTCCAACGTCCCCTCCCTCCGCCAGGCCTTCATAATAACCCTGTTTAGGAAATGAGGTTTCCACCTGGGCCGCCCTCTGTTGTTTCCATCACAGGACGCAGCCAGTCTCTAATTATCTTGTTTACTTGTCTCCCTGGCTAGACTTGAAACACCAGGCCTCCTGCTAGACTGGAAAACTCAGAAGGTGTGGACTTTGTCCAGCTCCAAGCACGGGGCCAGGCACACGAGAGGGACTCAGTAAATATTTGTTGAACAAATAGGAGGGAAATACACATACTGCCAAGGGAGGGAGCTACGCGGGTTGGGTGGGATGCTTGCCCCACCCTACGAATAAGGAAATGCTCAAGGGAGAGGTGGCATCTGGACAGCCCTCCACTGTGGCAACAATGGCCAGGGACAGTGGCCACATCTTGCCATCTCCATCCTCATCCCCAAAATAAGCTGGAGACAGAGGAGAGAACGAGAGGATTCATGGGAAAGAGGAAGATGCATGAGGGTGTCAAGGGAAACTGGAGAGGGCCGGACACCCGGCTCTGGAGGAGACGGCCATCTGGAACCGGGGAAGTTAGAAAAGCCCAAAGAAAGAGGATTCCTTTCTCTGGGCTTTCTCACAATGTTTGGGTTCCGGACCAATCCAGGATTGGACTGAGCGGCTTCCTGAGGTTCCCAATTCAGGAAGCTGTCATGGACCACCCCCACCTGCACACCTAGCCCCTCACTTCCAGCCCACCAGGGCCACAGGCAAGTGAGTGTGTGTCATGCCTTGTCCACTCCTGGACACTCTTCTGGCTGGAATGGACTGTGTACTTTGCACAGGTACTGTTCTAGACTCTGGGTATATATCAGGATAAACACAAAGATCCTGCCTCTATGGAGCTTAACAAAGAAGGATCCTTCTGGTCATGCCCTCAGGCCAACTCTACCCTCCAGCAGAGAGGAACCGGGTCCCTTCTCTCAATTCCTGTACTAGTCAGCAATACTTGTGGGACCCTTCATCAACCCTAAGGAACATGCAGCAACATTCTCAGAGACTCAGGTATGGATGGGCCAAGTACGCTCCCCCTCCCACGAGGCCCATCTCTGAATTCCTCAGTGTGTGTGTGGGGGGGTCTCCATTTTCCTGTCAGGGTCTTTTTTTTCTGTGAACTTAGTCCAGTTCTGGCTCAACCGCCCCCCTCCACCCCATCTAACTGTGTGATCCAAGAAAAAACCCCTTTTCTGGGTCTGTTTTTCAGCCTGAAAACGAGAGGCACAGGAAATTGTGCTGCTAATTTTCTAAGGGCCCTGTAAGCACTGATATTCGCAAAACTGATTTAATTTGAGAACTCAGAAGGGCACTCTACTTTCCAGCACTCCAGCTTCGCAATACGAGGTCAAACTGGGTGGGATGCACTTGGGGATAGCTCCCTGTGTCAAACTCACTCTGCTGCATCCACCGGGCCCTTCGGCGGGTCCCCTTCCTCTCCGGCCTCGGCTTCCCCATCTGCAAAATGGGAAGACTGCGGCTAGTCTACCATACTATGACTACACGTTCTTCCAACTGTAAGTACCCGGAGACCGACGCGCTAGATACGCTAGGAGAGCCCCCGCCTTCTCCGGACTCAGTTTCTCCTCCCCGGATCGAGGAGAAGGACTGGAGGCCCGTATCACACACTCGCTGTGCATCGCCCCCTCCCCAACGCGAGCCCCAAGGAGCCTTGGCGGCCGCGTCCCCCACCTCTAGATGAGAGCTCGCCATCGCCCTGCCCTCACCATGGTGTCGGCAGGGATCTAAGCCGCCGGCCACTTCCGCCACCGCTGCTGTCGCTGCTCACGCTTCCACCGGTAGCCTCCCCGCCGCGCGCCACCAAGCTGAATGGAGTGGCAGCGACAGGAGCCAGTCGGCACGGAGCTTTAGGGAAAGGCAACCAATGCACGTGGAGTAGGGCGGGGCCTGCTAGGCACGACTTGCTGGGCCGGCGTGCTCCCGCCTGAGGAAGGAGGGAGAGAGCCGTAAAGTACCGCAGTGAGTGCTGTAAAAGGGAGTGGAGCTAAGTGCGCCGGCGCTGGAGTCCTGGTGGGTAAGGATTCTGGCTTAAGTAGAAGCTACGGTGATCTGGTCTCCACGCTGTGGGCAAAACTGGTTACTCCTTCCAGCTTCCAGCTGGAGAAACCGACTCTCCACGGTTATTAGGACCACGGTTATTAGGAAGTGCTTTCTGGTTCCTACTCTTCCGATTTTCACTGTTGTAGTTGGTCCTCATTCAAGGCCATTATTTGGTAAGTTGGTAACTATGCTCTTCTGAGCCTTAGTTGTCCCGCCCTGTAAAATAGGTGTAATGATAGTGTCTACTCTAGAATCTTGCAGAGAGGATGAAACGAGTTAAACCACAAGAAAGCACTTTGGACAATATCTGGCCCATACTGTCGAGCACCTACCATTTGCCTGCTCTTTGAAACACAAGCGAACAAACCTGATAAAGCTGGCTCTCATCGGGCTTAGGAGTCAGTGGGGGAGACATACACTAAACAAAATAAATAGGCAAATGTGTTCTTTCCTTCGGCTGATGTAACAAATCAGAATCTGTGTGGCTTAAAACAAAAGAACTTGATTCAGAAATCTGATAACGAGGTGTCAGCAGGGTTGCTGCCTCCAGAAGTCCCTGAGGAACGATTCATCCCAGGCTGCTTCCCCAGCTTCTGCTAGTTGTTGGCAGTCCTTGTAGTTCCTTGACATGTGGACATATACCACTCTAATCTGTGTGTCTTCTCTGTGTCTGTGTCTAAATCTTCCTCTCATTTGTGTTATAAGGACAGTCTTTTCTCTTAATAGACCCACTGTAAATACACAATAATGTCATCTTTAGATCCTTAATTACATCTGCAAAGACATTATTTCACATAAGGTCATACAGGTACCCGGGTTTAGAACATAATCTGTTATTGATCAAATGCGAAAGCCATATAAACTGTCAGGCTCTTGCTATCCCTGCACCAACAGTTGTTCTGAAGCTGGTCCTGAGATGAGCGCTCAAGGGCACTTAGTGTATTCAAGGGATGAATACACTATGGAAGCTCCAGGAAGCCCCACTGGGGATGGGGACCTGATACAGGGAGGGAAGGATCCCTGCATGGGGCACCAATATGTATGTGAGGCAGAAAGCAACTAGGGGTCAGTCCAGCTGGGGACCTCAGGGAGGCAGCAAGAGAGCTCACGTCTCAGCCTTGGCAGAATAGCTCAGTTGGTTTGAGCGTTGCTCCAATAAGCCAAGGTTGTGGATTCCATCTCTGGTCAGGGCACATACAAGAAGCAACCATTGAATGCATAGGTGGACAACAAATTGATGTCTGCCTGTCTCTTTCCTGCTATCTCACATCCTCTCTAAAATCAATAAATATATCCTCAGGTGAGGATTAAAATTTTTTTTAAATCAATGAATAAAATTTTCTTTAAGAAAGAGCTCATGTCTCATTGTGATCCCATTGTGGTCCCATCCTGGCTCAGGGCTGCTGGAGCATTTATTCTTCAAGTTCCATCTATCATCAGCCCAGGGCTTCTCCCAGGCGAGCTGGCGAGATCGGGAACGTAGGCAGGGCTGGTAGGTGGCCAACCCAGATGTACTAACTGCTGACCCGTCAAGTCTTGTTTATTAAGGGTAAAGGCCGCTTAATGTAAACAGCAGAAACTGGGGTACATGAAATGTCCCAGCGTTAATGTGGTGGAAGTAGGAAAAAGTTCTCGTGCTGGATTACTCTTTCTGTGCCTTTCTAGACCTTTCTATGTGCAGCGGCTTTCTTTTGCCCAACTGGCAAACTCCTGTTTCATCCTTGAAAACTCTGCTTGAGTGACCCCATGTGGTAGACTGAGGTAATTGCGGTTTTTGTTGGTCCTTTCAACAGGGATGGCCAGAGTTTTCCATTCTCCTGGCCATAGTGATTGGTTAAAGAAGCACGTGACTAACCAAGGCTAATTAGAATCTCCCTTGCAGGATACTGAAGGCTAGGAAGAAGAAGGGTGCTTTTCATGGAGATTGTTAAAAGTGAAATAGATTTACAAGTGAGAGAGTAAAAGCCCAGTGCCATCCGGTTCCAACATACACAAGAATTCAACATACATAAGAGCAGAGCTACTTGGTAGACAGGTAGTATGGTTTGTGCCCCTGGATCCAGCTATACCTGAAGTCAAGATCTGACTTTCCACTTATATGAGACCAAGAAGTTGGTTTTCATTCCTTAATCTGAAGTTTGGACTTTGTCCCTGGCAGTTGTCAGAACCTGCATTAATGCATAGCTGCTCCATGAACTCTTCAATGACTAACTTCAAAATTTAATGATTTCCTCTCTTATACTTTGAACTTTGTACCTTACAGGGATTTTTATCATGGTTTCTCCTCCTCAGTGCTGACTCTGGGTATTAACAGTTTCCTCTCTTTTTTCTGGTGTGATGGGGGAAAGTGAAACCTCTCTCTTCACATCCCAGGCTTCTAGTAATGTGCACTTTGCTCCAGACACTTATTCATGTTTGAGCTATAAAACCTGATTCTGGTTCAGATTTTCATTCTGTTCTCCCACTTGGTTTGGGGCTTGCTCCCACAGCCAGACCAGGCCTGCTCTGAATTTTTTGGATTTTACCTGAAGCTGCCAGCAACTCAGATAGCTGCTGAGTAGGTGACCTCCAGTCTGAGTTTGCAAATGGGGCTCTGGGTATTCTGAGGCCCGGGGCCAGAGGTAGCTGATACTTCAGCAGCACCCTGGCTAATTTGGGCAGGGCTGCTTGGAATGAGATGTCAGTGACCAAGTCTAAGGTCCAGCCCTGTTTCTGAAGGTGTGGGAAGAAACTCAAAAACTTTATTTTTCTGGCTATTTTTGGAGGAATTCTGGCCTCTGATGAACATTGGTGGGGGACCAACTGTGTGCCAGGCTTGTACTGGGTGCAGGGACATTGATAATAGAGACACACCCTTTGGCATGAAAGTCCTAACCCCTATGTCGAAGGAAATGGGAAAAAAACCAGAAAAGCAATATCTATAGAAGAACGATTTCTGAATGTGATCTTTGCTAAGGAGAGAATGAAATAAGGAACGAGAAGTGTCTCCTAGGGTGGTGGTGATTCCATCCAGGGAGGTAAGGAGGGCCTGAAGGAAGAGGTGACAGCCAGGGAGGGCTTCTAGGAGGTGATGTTCCAGCTGAGCCCCGAAGGAGAGGAAGCAGTTCCTGGTACCTGAAGGAACATCAAGTGCAGAGGCCCTGAGGTGGGAGTGTGTTAGTCCCTTGGAGGATTGCTGAGTTGCTTGTGGGAGATGGAAGGAGGGGAGGCTGAGGTCTCTGGGCTACATCAGCCTCCTTAGCAACTTAGAAGCCTGAAGGGAACCTTCTGGTGCCACTCAACTCTTCCCGAGCTCAACTTCCTGGCCTGCATGTCACTTCTGTGACCCCAGAGAGTCTAGCCTAGTGGCCTTCCGAACTGTGCCTCAGGTACGGGATGAGGAAAGAAGTCTTGTGCACAGGGAAGTGGGGGAACTCCCTGATATTCACGGCAGGCACTCGATGAACACTTGTGGAATAAGTGACCTCAGCACCTGAATCAGTGAGTTCGAGCGGCCACACCCTACGGGAAGAACTGTCCTCATATTTCAAGTGAGAATCTGAAGCTGAGGACGGCAGAGCCAGGTGTTCCAGGGTTGAACACCCGGCCGCGGGTACACGCGTCTGGGCCCCGGGGGCGCGCACGCCCAGCGGCCTGGGTGGGGCGGGACCAGGGGCGGGGACGTGGCTGGGGCGTGGCTGAGGGCCGGGCCTCGGCGGCGTAAACGACCCCGGGCCGGTCTGAGGCGAAACCCGAACGCCATGGAGCAGCCCCGGAAGGCGGTGGTGGTGACGGGTAAGCACTGATGGCGGCAGTCGGGCTAGGGGCGGGCAGGGCTGGGGGTGGGGTGCGGTTGCCCGGGCCGGGCCGAGCAGGTGCTGGAAAGTCATGCCATGTTTGGAAGATGTCATCGCCCACGGGAGCTCAGCTCCGTCTGTGCAACGTAGAAAGTGAAGAAGGGGGTGCCCCAGTGTCAGGGTCAGGGCAGGAAGGGGTGTGGGGATCCAGTTGAGTTCCCCACGCTGAGCAGGCTACTCCGGCGTCCTTCCTTCCTCCGGTGGACACCGCGACCTTAAGGGCACCTGACTGTTTCGTCTGCCCCGCGGGTGCACTAGACTGGACTACTCCCTGCCCTTCCTGAGGTCCGGCCCCCACCCTCGGCCCCAGGGGACAAAGGCCGATTTGTGCGCAGGAAGTGCCCCCGTGATAGATGAACCTCCTGACAGCTACTGCTCCCCAGTCCTGAGCTAATGGGGGACTGCTCTCCACCCCGCTCCACCCCAGACAGGCCAGGTGGAACTCAGGAGACCTCGGATGCCCGGCCACTCTCCTGGATGTCCCAGGGACCGTCTTGATAAAATCTTTTCTGCCCAGGCTGTTTGTTGGCGAGACCGCCCCTCGCCGTCACCAACTCCCTTAAAGTACCTGTTCCTCCTCGAGGAAACTCGAGACCACGTGGGTGTCAACTTCTGCAGCTGGGCAGTCATTTTGACTGTCTCCTGGAGTGGTCCCAGTGAAATCTAGATACGGTTCACACAGGTGTTCTGTGATCTGGGAGGGTGGAACTGGTCCTGGAATCCCCAGGAAGAAGCCACTCACCTGACTAACAGGTATGTGTGATTGAGGGAGGGTCACCACCCCTTGCAGCCCTCCTATATCTGGTTTTTCGTTGCTCTGTTGCTGACTGTGCAGGCAGCTATCCACTGAGCATTTTCCTTGCATGAGCTCATGACATCTGAACTGTCTCCGTTTTTCAGAGAGGGACACTGAGTCTCACAGAGAAGGGAGGGAGTGGAGAGGTCGTGACTCAGCTTGAGGGATGGAGTCCAGCTCTTCCAAGGCATAGCATCCTTTCCCGGGGTCTTGGCCCTACCTGGGACCCTCAGCCCAACTGTAGTGACTCACACTTCCAGAGCAGCCTCTGTTGGAGATGTTAATTTTTTTAGTCAGGGTGACAGGGTAATGAGAAGAGGGAAGCCATACACTCATGGGTCTGGGTTTGAATCCCAACTCTTCCATCTTTTCCCTGTGTGACTGGGGGCAGCTGGCTTAACCACTTGGGGCCTCAGTCCGGCTTCTGTGAAATGGGCCCAGGAAACCCCCCTTTCCTGAGAGGGGGTGCCATGTGGCCAAATGATGCGGTGCACACAGAGCACTTGGCATGTTTCTGGGCGACCGTCTCGGTTCCTAAATGGGGCTGGAGTTTGAACAAGTTGTGAGGAGGGTGGTGGGTTGATGTATGGACAGTCCGGCCCGGGGGGCACCTGCATGCACCCCTTAAGGGCTGTTCTTCATTTGGTGGTAATTCACACAGTGCCTACATTTCTAGAAAGGGGGAGAGACCCCCCCCAGGAACAGTGATAAAATAATTACTTGCTGAGTCAAGGTCAAGGGAGGAAGTTGAGAAAGGAGCAAGACCAGCCTTTTCTGGGGCAAAAGGAGGCCAGTGGCCTTTTGCTGGGCACGAGAGCCTGTGGACGTAAGGGCAGGAAAGGACACACAGCTTCAGTGAAGAGCAGACCAGTGTGTGTGTGGGTCGGGGGCAGCTCCGAAGCACTACTGGGTGTGCTCCAGAACTCAGGACAGGCCCCCAACATTGTCCCAGGTGTCAGCTGCTCCTGCAGCTCCCTGCCCTGTTCTCCCAGATGGAGTCAGCAGCCTGAGTCTGGCAGGCTGGGAAGGGCCACTCTGTGGTGACATGCTGCTTTTACTGTTTTTTTTTTAGGGTTTGGTCCTTTTGGGGAACACACCGTGAATGCCAGCTGGGTTGCAGTCCAGGTAATTTGGATCCAAAGGGTAGGAATCAGTCTTGGGGCTGGGCTCCCACAGGCAATTTGGCACCAAAGAAAGGAAGGAATCCACAGCATGAACATCTCCTGTGAAGCTTCCTGTGACATATTTCAGTTTGATGTGTGCATCTTCCCAGATAGCAGCTGCTATAACTTATGTATGTTGAGCCAAGCAAGCATGTTCTGTAGCCCAGCACTCTGAATTTTCCTAACAGCCCCTGGTTAGGAGCAGTTACTCCTGCACCCACTTGACGGATGAGGAAACTGAGGCCTGGAGAGAATTATCTGAAGTCACACAGCCAAAAAACCAGAGTGGCATTGCCTCAGAAGTGCCCCATGCCCCAGCCAGGTTTTGGGGGCACCAGGCAGAAATATTGGGGGATGTATTAACCTTTTGGGGAGGTGTGGTGATCCTCACTGGTACCTCCCAGCAGCTGGGGAAAGAGAAGCCTGCATGTTGGTTGAGGAGTGGGGGAACCTTTCCTGCTGTCCTGAGCAGAGTGTCAGCCAGTGAGCCTTCCAATTTCTTTGTCAGATGGGGCATTTGGAGGGACAGACTAGGGAACAATGGGCAGAGAGAAAGAGAGAAACGTTTTCTCCCTATATAAATCAGATCTGCGAGACCGGAGCCAGACTCGTGTTAATCCTAGTCCATTAGCTGCTTGATTTAAGGCATCTCCGGCTTTCCACTGCAGAGCCCTGAATTTGGAGAGAAATTCAAGCTGAAACCTAGATGGGCTAATGCCTAGCTGGAGCCCCCACTTTTTTTTACCACCCCTACTCTGATCTCAAAAATCTTGGCCACTTTCCTTTTGTAAAAAATTTACCCCATTTTGTGAGTGAGACAGAAGGATGGGGTCCCCAGGACCCTGCAGATGGGAGCATGTTTGAGGCCTTGCTCATAGCACCCGCTCCCTGGAGCCCCAGACAAAAAGGAAACAGCGTGTTTCTGAAGACGTGTGTGTCTGGCTTTGTGCTAGTTTCAGACCCGAGCCTTCATGGGGCTGAGTGGACACAAAGCCGTGTGTCTGAATTCCTGGGCCCCAGACATGATGATCTGCATCTAAATAGGAGAAAAATCAATTAAACAATCTTTGGAAATCCATGCCCCCCCAGCTTTAGGACTTGGATGGAGGGGGTGGCTGCTTTTCATCCTACTGCCCGAGGGGAAACACCCCTTCTGTTAAAATTGCTCATATCTCCAGACCTTGCCTCTGGAAGACTTTCAATTTTCTTCCTCAAGTTTATGAGCAAGAGAAGATTTTCCATCATTCCCCAGCTAAAAAGACACCAACCTGCCCAGATCCGATTGTTCCCTTGTTTAAGACGGACAAAACAGAACTGGAGGGGTTCGGCTGTCCTCCAAATGCCTGTGCTCATGTAATTCCACGGCATCTTATTCACGGGCGCCTGCATGTCACCTGCATCTAGGATCAGGATTTAGATCATCCCAGCCCCTTCCCGTTCTTCCTCTTTCCAGAGCCCCTGTGCCCCTCGAGGCTGCCCCCTCCCCAAGGTGTAAGCCTCTCTGCTGGCATCACTGCCACTGCAGGTAAGTCTCGCCAGTGCTAGGACACCGGGTCATTGGAGCTGAGTCGTCCTGCGTGGTCTGCGCAGTCGACCCAGGGGTCTCGGAGCCGGAGCCACCATGGTGCCTTTTAGTTGGCCTGGATAAAGCAGATTTGCCTGTGAACAGAGTGCAGCTGCTGGAGAGGGCGAGTCCACGCCTCAGGAGCTAGGCCCCAGTGTGCTTGGTGTGGTCCAGACTCAAGGTGCAGGAGTGGCTGAGGGCCGTCCCCTGAAGCTGGAGATGGGGTTTGGTTGCACAGAGGGACAGCATTACTTTCTGTCCCGGCTGATTTTCCAGAAGCCCAGGTTGCCATCTGTAGAAGGAGCCCCTCCTCCTCTCTCAGGGACCAGCTAACTTCTCGCTCTGTCTGTCTCTCCTCTTCTCTCTCCATCTCTCTTTCTCTTTTATCTCTCTTTCTCTCCCATTCTGTCTCTCGGCCTCACTGTCTTTCTCTGTCTCAACCTGTGTCTCCCCGCCTCTTCATCTTCTTCTCTCTCTCCATCTCTTCCTGTTTTTCTGTCTCCTTGTTTCTCTTGGCCTCTCTGTGAGTCTCTCGAAGTCTCTCTTCCTTTCCTATTCCACCTCTCTCTGTCCGTCTTTCACTCCCCTTCCTGCACATGACCTTCCTTCTTCAGCCCTGGGTGACTGTCCACCAGCAACATCAGGAGGTGGGCGTTCTGGGGACTGAGGGGTGAACCCCCCACTCTGTGGTCTTTCCCCAGGATGGTGCTCCTCAGCACCTCTTGCAGGAGAGAATATGTTTTTCATTTTCCTGTCTCTCCCACATGCTATGGGACACCAGCTTCATGTCTGTCTTCCCAGGAGGCCCAGGTAGGCGTAGGTCCCAAGGGCAGGGACCCCTTGGCTTGGAGCTGTCTGGGGTATTCCCTGCCTGAGCAGGCGAGGAGGAGCCGGGTCACAGGTCCCTGTGACATCATAAGACAATTACTGCCACAGTGAGTCTAGACAGACCTGCTAAGGATATTAACCAGGGAACAAAAGGGGTCTTTGTTGCAGGGTCAAGGGAATCGGTCAGACGAGTCCGAGTGCCGGAGTCCTGTCAGGTAGACAGGGCGCAGACAATGCGCCGTCTGGGGCTCTGGCCGTCCCCTGCTCTCACGGGGTGTGCTCGGCGCTCCCTGCACATTGCGGTGGGACTCGGGGTGTGCTGCCAGCCTCCCCCCCCCAGGACAACCAGCTGGTCCACTGGAGCAGAAAGTGTTCAGAGGCAAAGAATTGAGGGAGATTACGGCTGCTCACTTTTCATAATGTCAGATGAACTTCACAGCTGCTCTTTGACCTTTACTGCCCTTTTTAAAATTGGGGAATAATTTGCATAAAACCACATGTACTGATCTTCATTGGCCCCATCACTGGAGAAAAGTATTTATGCCCATGTCTCCAATGCCTTGAGCAAGATAGAGGACATTGCGCTCCACCCAGAAAGTACCCTCTGCCTCCCCATCCCGCCCCGGGGACGGCTGCCATCCTGAGCTTAGTCAGCAGAGAGGAGCTCTGGGAGGTGCGGCACGGCCTCTGTGCCTGAGTGTGCCAGCTGCTTTTGCTTATTAGCCTGCTTTGGAGAAGGGGGGCAACTGGCTCTTTTCCTGACTTACCCCCTCCTCCTATTGACATTGGCATTGGGGGGCTTCAAGGTTTGCTCCCTAAGAATATTTTTTTATTTTTATTTTTTAAGAGAGAAAGGGGAAGGGAGAAAGAAAGAGAGCGAGACAAACATTGATCGCTTGCCTCTTCCTTCTCACATGCACCCCAGCTGGGCACCAAACCCACAATGCAGGCATGTGCCCTGACTGGGAATTGAACCTGTGACCTTTCACTCTGCTGGGTGACACCCAACCACTGACACCGGTCAGGGTGCTCCCTAAGAACAAAGCAGCACTGACGCTCCTTTCTGGGTCTCTTGCAAATAGGTGACTGCCTCGCTGTGAGGCTGCTGGTATGAAGTGTATGCATGTTCTTTGATGGTGGTTTTCACAGTTTAGATTTTTTTTTCCCCCGGTTGGAGAGGGGCTAGGCAGGCACCCAGAGGACATGAGGAGCAAAGGTTAGGTTGAGCTGGTGGCTCATTCTGTGTCTCCCAGCTCATTTCCTACCACAAAGATGATGTGGGCAAGTGGCTATCAGGCTGATGCTGGGGAAGAGGGCAGAGAGGGTTGCAGGGGTAGCTGGCCAGTAGAACCCGGCATCCCCTGTGGCAGATCCCAGGTCACCGTGGCCTCTGGGACGGTTTCCCTTCCCCAGAGAGGGTTCCTGGGGTGGGTCAGTAATCAGATTAGCAGCTTCCTTCATCTCTCTGCTCTCAGAAGTGCTGCCCCCAAATTGACTTGGTTGGGCCTATGAGGGGCTCACTTTGGGGACAACTTCCCAATTGAAATTCTGAACAAATACACACAATCCTTTTAAATCCTCACTCAGCCTGAGAGATAGATTCTTTTAATTTTTGGCCTTTCAGCCTATTTCCTATTGCCAGAAAAGGCTCTCAGGGCCACAGGAAGACGACACAGGGCGGGGCAGGAAAGTTCTGAGCAGGGGGGTAAGAACGGGGATCACAGCAAGGGAGTGTGAGGGCGGCGATGCGGTACAAGGACAGCTGAGGTGACTTGCCTGCGCCAGGTCAGAGTCTTTGCCGCACACCCCTCCCCGCCCTGTGGGGAGGGGAGGCAACCATCTTCATCCCCTTACAACTAAGAAAAATTTTTTGACAAGTTACAAGAATAGTGCAAAGAAGTCTTCTCGTGCCCAGAGTCCCTGGATTTTCTCTCTGTAGAGAAAGAAATAAGAAGATAAATATAATTAAAAATTTTTCTTGACTTTAAGCCATTTTTTATGGCTAATGGTGTATTTTCATTTATTGCTCAGAAAAATGAAAATAAAACATTATGCTTGGTTATAATTAGAACTTGAAAAGGTACATTAATTTATAATAATTAATAAAAATTTTAAAATGCCCCCAAATAAAAGTTTGACTTAGTATAATCATAAATCTCTAATTGCCTTGTTAGAAGACAACACAGTCGGAGTTTTGTTCTCACAATCCGGGGAAGCCATAGGAGGCCCACGGCTAACTCAGATAACATGGCCTGTTCGTGCCGAGTCACCACTAGCCCTCCAGCTGCTCAGGCTGCTGGAGCTTGTTGCTGTATTTAGGTTCGTAGGTAGGTATTTGCACTTGAGTGTCTTGAGTGGGTGCAGGTGCGGTGGGAGGGCATGACTCTCCCCGCAGCCCTCCAGCCCCCCCGGCAGCTGGGTCACAAATTATCACAGACTTCTTCCTCTCTCAAGAAGTGTGGGTCTCAGCCGTTTTTATTGTGATAAAGTAGACATAATGTAAAATTTACCTCTTGACCATTTTTAAACGTACACTCACTGGCATTAAGCACATTCGAACTGTTGTGTGA